GAATCCATGCTAACTTTCCGGGTTTTCTTCGCTACAGACTTCTAAAGACAGCTGAGGCCTTGGCAATTTATGACTTTAAGCCAGACCTTTGTGTACAAAAGAAGTATGTACAATCCCTACTTCTGTCTTGGCCGTAGATGGATAGACATTTATTTATTTTGTTTATTTAGTTATTCTATGTACTTTTCACATATTACTATTATTATTACTATCATTATTACTATTCTCACTCTGAATCTTTTCCACTTGACCCAATTGTCATTCTAAACACAAAATTATTTATTTATTATTTTTATAATATTGAATCCTATCTTATCAAATTTCACACCATGTTATGTATCATTTTATATTCGTCTACTAATCCAGTAATTATGTACCCCCTTCCAAAATTCTATACACCTTATGTATTATTCTATATACGACATTAATTATTTTGCCACTTGACATTAAACTATGATTGTAATCACAAATATTTTAATTGCATTTCATACTATTATTATTTCATGTATTCACACCTTTGACCTAGCTCCCTCACCGGAAATAATTTCTTAAAAACCATATATATACGATTGTACAGCTTGATAATAAATTTGTTGAAAAGAGTCTCTTCGTTGAATATTGCGTTCTTTATAATTAACTGCTTCAAGAATATATACATTAGTGTAAGTACAGTATTCTCTCCTGTTCAGAGAAGAATTCCTTACTTACTCCAAGAAAGCACATCTTGAGCATCCTTTCTTTGTAAAGCACTAAATTTCAAGAAACACTTTAGGAACTCAAGTATTGGGTGATACAAATTAGTCTCAATTATAAGCGTAGATTTCCTCTAAGAAATCCCGAGCGATTAATTAACCAAACGTTTGAATTTCGTGAAAAATTCCAAACGCAGGATTTATCTAAAGTACAGTACTATGTTCTACACAAAATAATGAAATATAATATACAAAACTCAAATTATGAAGTGTCTGTGGCTGAATCTCATCAGATGCACAGACATAGTGTTTAAATAAGAAAAAACATCAGAGCAAACTGTCAGATCAAACAGCGCGCGAATGCCAAATAAAGAGTAGTGGGATTTGAATAAACAATGTTCAGCAGAGAGAAGTATGATAAATAAAGCATAAACAGCAGATGCAGGGTCGATAGCACAGTGGTAGAATGTTCGCTAACTATTCATGTGGTTTGGCATTCGATCCCTGACCGACACACTCCTTTACCTCGCTAAGCCAGTAATAAGACTGGTAAAGATGGAAGGTTGGGCATGAGACCAGCAACCCCATCCCGTAAAAATAAACAATAAACACTGCTACTGAGAATTCAAGCCTTTAGCTTGAAGCCCTATGTTCCACTGGGAACGTAAAGTAATAAAACAACATATGCAGCAGATATCTTTTAAATATAAGAAGATAATTACTATATATCAAACTGAATATTAACACAGTGAGCTAAATTTCAACAATAAACAGCAGTTATGGTTGTTATTTTTACTGTTGCTTTCGGTTCCAGTTGGAAAATAGGGCTTCAACAGAACATCTCCACTTCACTTCGTCCTCTGCAGTCTTCTTCAGCTGGTCCCACGACTGTAGATAGGCTTTCGTCTTTCCTTCGCAAGATATTCTCCATTTGTTATGTACCTGTCGTCAATGGATATGACAGCGTCGACAGTTGACCAGAGTGAATTGATAATATATATTATTATTATTGTTCCCTTGGGTTCCTAGTGAAATACAGGGCTTCAACTGCACGTCTCCACTTCCTTCTGTCTTCTGCTGTACTTTTCACCAACATCCATGTTAGTCCATACTGTTTCGATTCCTCTTCACACGATCTCCTCCATGTTACCCTAGGACGTCCCACTCGCCCCTTCCCTTTCGTGTTACACTCGACCGTTGGCCTGACGCGCGATGTCACCCAGCGAGCGGCCTCCTCAGCCAGTGAGTGTTAAATCCATCTCCACTTTCTCCTGCATATTTGTTGGGCGACTGCTTCTTGTTTTGTTTGTTTGTTCCCATAGTTTGTTTCTTGTTGGTTCTTGTTCTTTCCGGCGGCCATCTGATCTTCAGTATAGAGTGAAGACAGTTGTTGATAGAGGTCTGCAACAGGCTGTTGGAAATATTCTTTGTGACCCACCGCTGAGTTTCTGATCCATCCGTATTGAAGAACTGACTGACTTGACTGACGTTTGTATTGAAAATCCGAATTTTGTTGTTGATGCTGGCTGGGTTGAGTGACAGTGGAAGATTTCCAGATTGGTTTCAGGTTGATGAATGTGTTTCTCGCCTTCCCGATTCTCGACTTCACATCCTCGTCCGTGCCATCTGTCTGTAGTTGAGACAATGCTCCCTAGATAAGTGAGTGAATGAAGTAAACTCTTCCATTAAATCCCTCCCGTTGATGGTGATTGGCGCTGGATGTTGCTGCTGTTGTTGTTGGTTGGTTATTTTAATAACCTCCGTCTTGTCTATGTTCACCTGGAGTCCTGTCTTTGCTGCTTCTTCGACCAGTTTGTTGGTTTTCGCTTGTAAGTCTTCGATTTTGTGTGACGTGAAACATAAATCATCCAAACGCGAAATCTACGTCCTCTAGGTTCTTCAGGTCGGTCCAGGATATCCCTGTGAATTAATGCGTGATATAACACAATAACATTGACACACTGAACAACTCAACTGATATTCTTTATACGCCTATTCGTCCATGGTACCGTTCGCTTCACTTAACCAGGTAAATATCAAGACTGACCTATGACCATCAGGATACAATTTTGCTACTAAAAACACGTCGTACTTAAATATTTTTAACCACATTGAAATCGGACCACGACAGAGGAAACAGATTATTCTGATTGGTTGGCAACTTCACCAAGACCAAGGTAAGAAAGAGATGATGAAATTTTATAGTCATCCAACCACACGATGAATCACATGACGAGTCATGCAATGGTCACTATTTTAAGGCAATTCTTATCACCATGTCACCCACGGCCTCAGGCCCGACAGGTCATTTACCATTCGGGTTCCACTCAAGTGATGGCCTTGTGTGATATGTCATTCGATAGACTCCTTGGTGTGTGATAAACCAGCCTCCGATTTCTTCTGCATATTTGTTGAGCGACAGGTTACCGGTTGGTTTCTTCCCAAAGTTTGTTGTTACTCATTCATTCTGGCCGTCCAAAATGAAGCAAGCAAAGGAGTCAGTCAGCCGTTGATAAAAGTCTGAAGTAGCCCGTTCGAAATTCTTCTAGTGACGTGCACGCCAAGTTTCTGACCCATTTACAAACACTGAATTCGTTAACTTTCTGTTGGAAATTCAAATATGTTCTCTATGCTGAGTGAAGAAGATTTCAAAACTGTTTTTTCAGAGTGATGAAGGTTTGTGCTGCATTTCAGATTCTGGTTTTGACATCCTCAATGGCACGGTCTGTAGTTGAAACGATGCCTCCTCCCTAGATAAGTGGAAGAAGTGACCTCTTTCAGGATTCTTCCGTTGAGAGTGATTGGTGCTTATCGCTGTTGTTTATGGTTAGTTACCTTCATCACCTCCGTCATCTCTTTGATCAACCTGGAGTCCTGTCTTCTCTGTGTCTTCTGCCACTTTGTTGGTTTTTGCCTGTAAGTCTTCGAGTTTGTGGGGAATTAAACCCAAATTATCCACACGCAAAATCCAAATATTCTAGAATCTTCTGATCGGTCTAGCGTATTTCTATCTTCTCACTACCTACGTATTATTATTATTATTATTGTTTCCTTTAATTCCTAGAGGAATATAGGGTTGCAGCCGTGCGTCTCCATTGCATTCGGTTCTCTGCTACAGTCTTCACCTGGCTCCGAGTCCGCCCACACACCTTCATCTCCTCTTCACATCACCTCCTCCAAGTCACCCACCCTCACACTGAAGACCAACTCGCCGCTTCCCTTCCACTCGAGCAATGGCTTGTCTAGTCATGTCGCTTGATGGTTTGTTTCCTCAGAGGATGACCAGCCAATCCATCTCCATTTCTTCCTGCCTGCCTATTTCTTTCACAATCGGTTCCTGCTGGGTTGGTTGGTTCGCTCATTGCCAGAGATCCCTCTCTGTTGCTGATCTTTCCTGGCTAGCCATCTGATCTTGAGTGGTATTGAGCGAAGACAACTAGCTGTTAATGAAGGTCTGTAGTTTGTCTGAGATGCTGTTTATGACGCGCAGTGCAAGTCTCTGATCCGTATAGTGAGTAGCACTGACTGACTTCACATTGGAGTTGAAAATCCGGACCTTATTTTTGACGTTGAGTGCTGTTGACCTCCACACAGACTTGAGAGTAGTGAAAGCTTGTCTTGCTGTTCCGATCCTCGCTGCTTTGATATCCTCGTCAGTTCTGTCCGGCTGTAGTTGAAACGATGCTTCCCATGTGGGTAGGTAAAGGAGGTTGTTTCTTTCAAGTTCCTCCCATTTATGCATATGGTGTACGTATGGTGCCGCACAATCCAGTTCACCACAATTAGGAATATCATCGGTGATAATACGCAGGCAACCATGTTTCACTCCTGTATTCACCTCAGATGCTTTTCTTTTGTGGAGATGATAATAAGAATACGTCTTTTCACATTCCTCTACAAATAATCATTTAAGACTACTGTTCAAATATGAATTGTGTCAGCTGTTCGTATTGATACATGATATTAATTCCGAAATTCCTTACAATGGAATTTACACATGTAGCCGGAAACAATAAGGGCTTTTACTTCCGTTACCTTATGTAAATATCCTGTTATGCACTTTGATGAGCCATTTTCACCAGTTAAGAAGGATGGTTCAAAACAGTAGTTCCTTGTTTCATGAAGGCGAAATATTAAATCACAAAAAGTTATATTACGATTAATGCAATAAAAACACTAGCCACATGAATGCATATACATGCATGAATATTGATTTATATTTTAAACGATCAATCAATATTTAAGCGACAGTGATGACAATGATGATATGACCTTGACGTGATACAGTCTTTTTACCTAAACAATAATATGCCTAAAAATCATCAAAAGTAAGTATTTGAGAACAACAATAACCTCTCTTCTCCTTTCTTCCTTCCCGCCCACTTCACATCTACCTATAGATGTACCAGAAAAAATCGTCGAACAATCAAATCTACATCAAAAAGAATAAAACCCCTGAAGCATTCAAAAAATGATTTGAAATCAGTTAAATTGTCAACATTTTCATCATTACCGACGACGACGACTGATAGGCAACATCAACAACAATGTGACACATTGTCATCGAATTTTACACTTAATAACAAACAATTACAGCATCATTGTAATTATGAATTAAGTAATCTTTTAGCTAGAAAGCTTTATTTATCTGTTACAAATAATCAGTTGCCCAGGGAGAAATTCAAATATCATCAAAGTATATTTTCAAAATGGACACTGGATCCGATTGATTTGTCATTGGCTGAAAAATCAACCAATAAGAAGTTGATGACAACAACTACAACAACAACAACAAATCCTTCAACAAATCAATTGCATAAATTAAAACAAAAACGATTCAGTGTTTCACATAAACATCATCATCATTATCATCATCATAAGCTGACAAAAGTGACGAATGAATTTCAGCATACAGATGATATTGATTATTATATAATGAATTATCGTCAACCAAAACTATTGGAACAATTGAAACACGCGTGCAATTTTAATGATACAATTATGACAGCAGGTGAAGTGAATTCAGCTAAAATAAAGTTAGTTGTTTGTTGTTGTTCTGAATACTTAATAACCTTGGATCGGTGGATACTTATTGTCATTTAAAACTGTCATTTAAAATTTGACTAATGGATTACAGGATACTATGATTCTGCCTAGATGTCATGAGGTATGTTTAGCTGCTGTTTAAGGAATGGGCAACAGGTGGTACGCAGGACCTTATATGACTTATCACAATATGTTGAATTGGCCAAGATAGACTATGAAATATCCTTCCAATGTATCAAAGAATTTGTGTACTTCATGAATCTCATCAGCAGAGAAGAGTCTGTTTTGGTGAATGTACAATGTAACATAGATATGAAAAATAGGAATCGAAACCAATCAGTATTTGAAGACTGATTGCAAATCTCTCCTCAAATTTTAATTATTCTTTTAGCTTCTGACTTAAACTTGGGGCTTAAAAAGAACATCTCCATTATTTCCCGTTTACGCCGTCTCTGGCTAAGTAGACGTGATATCCGACTATCGACCAAAGGGCGTGTGTAATGCTCATCAGTCCGCTTCGTCCTCCTTTATGGCTGTGAGTGAGACATGGCCTTTGAGAGCGGAAGACATGAAAAGATTAGCTGTGTTCGATCATAGGTGTCTGCGTTCTATCTCCCGTGTGAAGTGGTATAATAAGATGAGCAATATTGAGGTTAGGCGTCCAGTGAGTGCTAGGTAGGGAGGGGAAATCAGTCGACGAGACTGTGAAATTACATCAACTGAGATGGTTAGGACATGTGTTACGTATGCCTAGCCATCCATCACCTTCCTCCACAATGGGCAATGTTAGCTGATATAGGGTCAGGCTGGAAAAGAGCTAGCTAGGGGCGGTCAAACGAAAACATGGCTTCACCAGTCAATGAAATCTACAAAAGTTAGTGCAAGCCAGCCACGTAGGAAGGTGTAGACTGGTTTCCTGACTGGTTGGCGTCCTCGGGACGGTAAAAACCAATGGCGGTGGCTGGAGACAGTCGGTGACATGGCTCAAAATCGTTGTCAATGTCTGGTGCAGATGCATTCACTCCTTGTGACTTATGATTTCCAATGAAACTGTTTTGTTCTTCGTTATTACTATTCCTTTGTCTCACACCTCTGTTAACTGTCTCTAATATGCATTTCTCCTACTTTCTTCTCTTGCATTGTGTGCTACAACGAGGGAGTGTGGCGCTTTGAACTTCCGCACATATGTGCAAAGTTCTATGTCGAAAACAGACAGACAGACAATCCTTCCCGATCGTCCATCAGATCTTGAATATGAAGCCAGTGAAGTCAGCTGTTGTTGAAAGTCTGAAGTCTGTTTAAAATTTTTTCCGTTATGAACGTGCCAAGTCTATTAACCACACATAAGTACGAACTGACTTCATATTGGTCTTGAAAATCCGAATCGTGTTCCTTATACTTGATGCTGTAGATTTCCGTACTGATTTTGAAATAATGAATGTCTTTCATGCTTTGCCGGACCTGGCTTTGACATTCTCATTCATAATGCCCGTAGTTGAGGCAGTGCTGCACAAATAAATCAAAAAGAGGCCGCTTCTTTTAGATTTATTCAATTGGTAATTAGTGGTACTTGTTGATGTTCGTTTGGCATCTTCACCACCTCTGTTTTCTCTATGTTCACTTGAACTCCTATCTCCGCTGTGTGCCACTCCTCCCAGCTTGTTGGTTTTCACCTGAACATCTTGAAGTTAGTATTGCACTAGACGTAAATTGTTCATGGCGTTCAAATATTTTACAGTCTTCCTGTCATTTCAAAGTATTTCTGTCTTCTTGTTCCCCGTGGTCCTTTGCATGAACCAATGCGCCCCATTCAGGGGTATAATTGGTGATAGTAGGAAGCTTTGTCTCACTCTTATCCTCCCTTCAAGGGCTTCTCTGAATTTTACTTTTGTGAATCACTTGACATGTGGCATCATCACAGGAATGTTTGATTAGACTGATGAAGGCTTGGGGAGATCCTCAGTATCTCTCCCCAAATGCTACCACATATGCATAACTGAATGGCTTTTCGTATTGTTTGAATGGAAACAGAAACCTTCAGTGATTGATAATATGATTTCTTCAGGTAATTCCGTTGTCTTATCAAATACAGCTTCACTTTCTCTGACTTGTCCGTTCTTATTTTATTACTTTAAGGTGCATGATTCTTTAACAGTGATTGAAGAGCATAAGACAACTCTATAAACGTTAAAAGCAAGGTGACATTATTGCTAGCCTTTTTACTCCTTTGCATTCCAAGTAGAACACAGGACTTCAAGGTTTGAACTCTAAATTTCAATATCAGTGGCGTCTTTTACAAGGTGAGGACACTAGTTTCATGCACAACCTTTCCAATTTTCCAGGCTTACTACCGGCTAGGCGAAGTTTGGGAGTGCATCCACTGGGGATCAAACTTGGGAATACATGCGTGGTTGGGGAGCATTCTATCGCTTCCACACCGACGAGGGTGATAATCGATTGACTGATGAACGAATTAGTATCGAACTTTGCACATAAGTGCATTGGTTCCAAAAACGTATGCCTTAAAAAAAATCAGACAAGTCTTTATACTAACATACCAATCAATATGGCCTTAGAAGCAGTCAAAAAGGAATTAACTGCAGACCCTGAACTCAATTATAGGACGAAACTACCCATTGATAAAATTATTTTACGAATTCAGTTGTGCCTCACATCTGCTATCTTTAAATTCCAAGGCAAAATATATAGACAAACTGAAGGTGTAGCAATGGGATCACCAATATCCCCTATCCTAGCAGATATATTTATGGATAGCTGGGAAAATATGGCTCTTAATACGTGTTAAAAACAGAACATATCTCTAGCTTCCTGACACACATAAACTCACTAGTGGAAGAAATAAAATTCACATTTGAAGCCGAAAATGAACAAGGAGAATTAGCTATGTTAGATTGTAAAATAAAACGAATAGAAGAAGGCAAACTAAACACTAGTGTTTATAGAAAATCAACGCATTCCAATAGATATTTAGACTTTAATTCATCTCATTCTTTAACTGTTAAGGCAGGCTTAGTTAAGTGTTTAACAAACCGAGCAATGGCACTAAGTAGCACAAGAAAAGACCTAAATGATGAAATAAAACAGATAGAAGATGCGTTGGTGTTAAATAACTATCCTTTAAAATTCACTAGGAAGATTGAAAAAGGCCAAAAGAAAAATAAAAAATAATTGTGAAACTAGTAATAATAACATAAATAAGAGAGAATATAAGTCATCTACAGTTATACCATATAAAGAGGGGACATCTGAGACACTACGTAGGATTCTAAATAAAGCAGGAATTAGGGTGGCACTTAAACCTACAAACTCACTCAGGGACAAGCTCTGTAGGTTAAAGGACCCTGTAAGTTGATCCGATTAGACAAATGAATATGATTTACAAAATACCCCGCAATGACTGCGAGGTCAACTACATAGGACAAACTAGTAGGTCAGGGGTAGTCAGATTGTCGGAACATAGGAATTTAGCTAAGGTAAGAATGGTTGACCCAGAGAAGATAAGTAATTTAGAAGAAAGAACTTAGCGATTGCAATGCATGCATTAGCACGCAACCACACAATAGCATGGTGGTATAGGGTTTAAATTCTAAAAAGTAATCTAGGTAGGTGGAGAGAGAGTTTGATTACTGAATCCTTGTACATCGTATCTACACCCAACACATGCAATAGGAATGATTCATCACTCATACCCGAAATATGGAAAATATTACTACCAATCAAATCAAGTGGAAAACAATGGAACTATATAAATGAATTTAGGAAGTCATGTGATTACCTTGATATGATTATGAGTGGCAATAAATTGTGCTCGAAACGTCATCAGTAAACATTACTGTATAACACTGTGAGACTTTATCAAAACAAAATCTACCCATAATGAAAATCAGACAAGAGTGACAAAATGGTAAAATATTTAATAGACTGGAAATAATGAAATAAGGAATTGTGAATGTGTTTAGAACTTCGATGATAATATGATGCCACTATAAGGGTTTTGAGACATTTCACTGACGTTGTACAATATCGCGCAGATAAAGCGCATCTTTTCATACTTACTGACTTGATGGATTTCTATTACGGTTAAGTCTGACTAGCGCATATCTTTCTAACCTTACTTCAGTTGATCTAATATGGCGATAAAGACAGTAAGAAAGAGTGCGTAACACGTGTTCTATGCGCCTTAGATGAAAAAGCTTCAGTAATCTATCCATTGACTTTCTCATCCTGCATAATACTCTCAGCCTAAACTCCCTATTAACTACCATTTCGCATAATCAAGTGTGAGTAACTGAACGGAAACCCTTAAACTTTCATTGTCTTCTGTCTTTAGAGGTTATGTTTCACACTCAGAGGACAGGATGAATAACTATGCATTACGAACAATGTCTTGTAGCGTACATTGAACCCTTGAACTTTCGTTTGAACTCTCTCACCCGACTTTTGGCACTTCTTCCTCTTTCGATTCGTGAATCTCCTGTACATTCTAGGTTCGCTCTCTCGTTGTGCTTTCATTCAGCGCACTCTTCGAGCCTACCACCAGTCAACGCAGCAGATAAGTTGTATAACATCTTTATATTTATTAAATTTAATATTTCATTTGTGTAAAATACAACCCCGTCCCAGACACACTTCCCGTATCAAGTCTTTTTACTTTTATTCCGTTCGTCAGTACCTACACGTTAGGTGGAGTACTGCCAAGCTTACAAAGCTGTAAAGATTTTTAGTAAGTGTGGTTATTTGAGGTCTATCTTAAGTTTAACCTCCTTATTTACAGACTACTCCAAGTTCATCCTCGGATATCGCTGAAACTTCTGCACCAAGACACGACGTATCGACAAAGGTCGAACATTTTAATACGATCACTTGAGGGGAAAATCAAAAGTGAAATAAAAATAGCTGCTACCGATAGCTGCTACCTTGACGTGGTAGTCGGGCTTGCATATCGCAATGACCCAACGAGCTACACTGGCTGGAACTTGTGTTCCTGTAGGTCCTACCATGTCAGAAAGGTTCTTTGGATAGCAGTTAGATAAAAAGCAGCTACCCAATCCAATACCATGACTCAAACAAACTCACAAAATATCAATCCGGATCGGTCGGGGCCCGGATTAACAACGATCGCGCTTCCTGCTGCTGTGTCACAGGGCAGAAGTGATAAATATGCTACTGAGACACACCAAACAAGAAAGAACAAACAAAAACAGGCCGCGTGTGACCGGCCTCAAGCAGTTGTCCCCTGGGCTCTGCGGTCACGCAACACTAACCTTTTTTCTCTCCCCTTCTCAGGGGTGAGGCTAGCAACCCCACCCTGTAAACAAAGCTGCTACAGAAACTTCAGCACGACGAATCTCCTTGCGCCGAAAGAAGAAGTCTGTGTGGGGACATGGAATGTCCGCACCATGTACGAGATTGGCAAAGCTGCCCAGATCGCAAAAATAAATAATGGAGTTATATTACTTGTATTTTTACAAATGTATCTACTCTAACCAGAATTCATTTAATGTTTTTGTTATCCTCAATTTCTTTTTTCAAGAAATCCAACAAATGCGACAGCATATGAAAAAGGATCTCACTGTACTAACAGCACAAAACCATCTTCAACAGTTAGCAGCTCAAGTCATGTGAATAACTCGATAGAAAGTTCAGTAGAAGTGAAGTGTATTCATGATGAGAACAAATTGGTAAATTCAAATGAGAATGAAGATGCTACTGTCACTACAGATATTGCCACTACTACAAATGCTACTATTACTAGCACCAGTACTACTGATAACGACAAGAATAGTAAAATCTCTAACAAAACTCAAAGTCAACTTAATAGTAATGAAATTAACAACGATACTATAATCAACAATATGACTGATAAAACACCATTATCTGATGAAAATGATATATGGATGATTTACGGTTTGTCTTTACAATAAATCTCAGTATTGACCACTTACAGTCAAAGCTACTTGTTTTGATGTTGGCAGATAGTAGATAGAACCTATGACTGACATTTTATCGTGTTGATAAAACTCATCAACTGGACGTGCCCAGATTACACTGAGTGTTAGAATTACCTTTAAGATCGGAACTATGACCATTTAAGATAATCACAGACTATCATACATGTATGATTTAAAAAACAGATCGTAATTTATGACCAACAAGTCCGTCTATTATTATTACTATTGTTCCCTTGGGTTCCTAGTGGAACATAGGGCTTCAACTGCACGTCCCCACTTGCTTCTCTCTTCTGCTGTACTTTTCACTTGCATCCATGTTAGTCCATACTGTTTCAACTCTTCTTCACACGATCTCCTCCATGTCACCCTTCCACGAACCACTCGCCCCTTCTCTTTTGAGGTCCATTCGAGGGCTTGACGCGCGATGTCACCCAGCGAGTGGCCTCCTCAGCCAGTGAGTGTCCAATCCATCTCACCTTTCTCCTGCATATTTGTTGGGCGATTGGTTCTTGTTTTGTTTGTTTGTTCCCATAGTTTGTTTCTTGTTGGTTCTTGTTCTTTCCGGCGGCCATCTGATCTTCAGTATAGAGCCAGCGAAGACAGTTAGTTAGTTGTTGATAAAGGTGTGCAACAGGCTGTTGGAAATACTCATTCTTTGTGACCCACCAACTTTCTGATCCATCCGTATAGAAGAACCGACTGACTTGACGTTTGTATTGAAAATCCGAATTTTGTTGTTTGATGTTGAGGAGTGACAGTGGAAGATTTCCAGATTGGTTTCAGGTTGATGAATGTGTTTCTCGCCTTCCCGATTCTCCATTTGACATCCTCGTCCGTTCCTCCTGTAGTTGAGACAATGCTCCCTAGATAAGTGAGTGAATGAAGTAACCTCTTTCAAATCCATTCCGTTGATAGTGACTGGCGGTGGATGTTGCTGTTGTTTGGTTATTTTCATAACCTCCATCTTGTCTATGTTCACCTGGAGTCCTGTCTTCTCTACCTGCTTCTTCGACCAGTTTGTCGGTTTTCGCTTGTAAGTCTTCGATTTTGTGTGACATCAAACATAAACCATCCAAGGGCGAAATCCAGGTCTTCTAGGTTCTTCACGTCGGTCCAGGATATCCCTGTCTTTTCGTTTCCCACTGTCTGACGCATAATCCAGTCCAGTCCACCACAATTAGGAATATCATTGGTGATAATAAGCACCCTTGTCTGACTCCTGTGTTTACTCCAAACGCCTCGCTGAGTTTTTCGTTGTGGATCACTTGACATTTGCCGTTGTCGTACAGCTGTTGAATAAGGTTGATGAATATTTGGGGTACGCAGTATTACTCGAGTAGTTTCCAAATTACTTCGAAGCCCTTCTCAAAGTCTACAAAGTTGAGGTAGAGGTTTGATTGCCATTCCATCCTTTGTTCGATGATGATGCGTAGAGTTGCAATTTGGTCAGAACATGATTTGCCTTTCCTGAATCCAGCTTGTTGTGGTCGGAGTTCTGTATCCAGTGCCTCCTTTATCCTCTCCGGGATGAAGCGACTCAGGATTTTACTCGGCGTCGACAGGAGCGTGATTCCTCGCCACTTCTTGGCGAGTCCTAGGTCGCCCTTCTTTGGTAGTTTCACAAGGTAACCTTTCCTCCAGTCAGTAGGCACCTTTCCCTCCTTCCAGACCTTTTGCAACAATGCAGTCAGCATATCTGCTGTCGTCTCTGGGTCCGCAACATGGAATTACTAGATTCGATCTCTGGTGGGTTTTTTGGGTGATTACTCATGAAGAGCCCCATGCTGGGACGAAACAGTTGTCCTGTACTCCCTGATTTTCAATTGTTCTCTAACTGGTATCAGTTCGTGATCAAAAGTGAAACAAATCAAATCCTAACAAAATAATTCTTGATAATTTATAATGATCAATCTCGGAAGGTTGGCGGTAGAGTGCTGTGTAGAAATCGAATGTGACTTGATTAGATATCAAACTTGCATAACTTCAGATGGCCAATAATACATGCTCTGAACACATCAAGTTACTGTCTTCTCAAATGAACAATTTTCGTTGATAAAAGATCGCTTTTGGAAAGATGTTAGGTTTTGTCAATTTAGGATAAGTTTCATTGTTTCACTGGCTATGAGACTGGACAAGTATAGTTATATTATGGAAAATGAAGGTTCATTTCTACAGGAATATCGCCATAAATATGAAGGAATCCTAAAGACTTATTCTAATAGAGCTATTATCATTGATACATATATATATATATATATATATATATATATATATATAAGTTGACACCGGAAAGGTGTGATATTATAGAGAGTTTAGGCAACTGCGGTAAAAGTTGCTGGATTTGCTTCATTTGCCTAGACGTAGTTCTAGCTGTTTCAAACAGATTACAGTGGCTTCGATTATTGCGACGATTAAGTCAACATATATGAATATGTGTGATGCTAAGTTCATTCATTTGTACACAAGAAAAATATTATGGTCACTTTTAACTGCATCCTCATAAGATGATAATAAAGAATGCATGTAGACTGTAGCGGTAGGCAATTCCCAGAATTATTAACCACAGCACTCATCACTGAAAATCACTCGGCCTCTGAAAGTTCACTGCTATTTGGCTTTATAGATCTCACCTACTAAGCGACCGTACCCCAGAATATTAGACAAACTGCTACATGAATTTCAGAGTATAAGGCAAATATATAAAACAAAATTATTCTTCGCCTGAATCGGAGAGGAGAAATGACGCAGAAGGCTGGTGAAACCCTGCCTCCGAGAAACCAGTCAGTTGATGTGTCTCCTCTCGATGAAAGCAAGAATGAGAATGGGGACGTGGAATGTTCGTACAATGTACGAGACTGGAAAGGCTGCCCAAGTAGCCTACGAAATGCGAAGATATGTCCTAGAGGTGCTGGGTATCTGCGAGAGCAGATGGAGCGAATGTGGTATATCAGTAACCTACTCAGATCTGGTCACCCAGATGACAACCACGAACACACTGATGCAGTGAGTGGCTATCAAGATTTCGCCAGCGGCAAGCAAAGCCTCAATGCGGTGTCAAACAATCTCTTCAAGCAGGATAATAACAGAAAGGTTTAACTCTAAAGGAATCAAGGAAAGTCACGATTATCCAATGCTACGCATAATACTACAAACAGCCCCGAACAAGAGAAGAAGGTAGAGTTTTACAGACAACTACAAACAGTAATGGACAACATCCCAAATGGTGAAATCCAAATCCTCATGGGCGATGCGAATGCCAAACTGGGACCTGATAATACAGGAAAAGAACTCATCACGGGGTCGACAGGCTCTCGCTTGGTGAAATGAATGAGAACGGAGAATTATTCACAGACTTCTGAGCTTTCAATGATTCAGTGATCCGAGGCAGCGTGTACAACCGCAAGGATGCACATCAAGTAACATGGATTTCGCCTAACCGACACACCAAAAGCAAGATGGACTTCATCTCACTGGTGCTCAAGGAAGTGGAGACTCAGATGACCTGCTGGAAACAAAGTCAAGAAGGTGAGCAGATGTGGACTCAGACCATCATCTAGTTCGAGGAACCTTTAAGGTGAAGCTGAAATCCTTGAAAACAACTGGAGACAGGCCACAACTCAATTTCAACATTCAGAAACTGAAGGACGAAACTACATGGGATCAGATCAGAACAAAGCCGGAGACAGGAAGTGGCATCACTGAGAAAACCTATGCGGAAGAACACTGGAACTCTTTGAAGGTGATGTTCTAGGAAACGTGTAAAACCACCCCAGAAAGAAAGAAGAGACGACGAGGAATGGCTAACTATCAACGGACACCTATACGGAAGTTAATAGGAGGGAGGAGAGGAGGGTGGTGAAAGAGGTGACTCAATGCAAAAATTGACAAGAGAAGGGGAAACTGAATTCAATGCACACTGCACTGAATCAAGAAGTGTGCTGGGAAAGACAAAAGACAAGTCTACGAAACCCTGAAAAATGAAGTAGAACACTCAGGCCGCATACAGGAGGTACCTCAGGACATTATATCACATAACCAGGCCTGAATGTGGTGAGAGATCAATGTCGATTAAACCGATAGAAGGTACTCAAAGGATAGTAATTAACTCGGAGGAGTGGTAAGGTAAACATTGGACTCCTGAATCAACAATCACCTGCCACTTTTCCAGAGTTACGCGTGGAATAATTCTCTTATTCACGCCGAGTGAGATACTAAGTCGCATCATCCTAGAAAGACTAAAAGAAGTACTGGATACAGAACTCCGTATTACTGAAGAAGCTGCATTCATGAAAAGCGAATCACGCCCTAATCACATTGCAACTCTACGCATTTTCACGGAACAAAGCATAGAATGGCAGTCAAACCTCTATATCAACTTCATTGACTTCAAAAAGGCCTTCGACAGACAGCGTTGACGGAGAAGTAACTTGGAGACTACTGCAGGACTATGGTGTGCATTACCCCAAATATCTATCAACCTCATTCAACAGCTGGCTACATGACAATGCCACATGTCAGGTGGTCCAAAACGGAAAACTCAGCGGATACTTTCAAGTGAAAAGAGGAGTAAGACAAGTCTACGCATTATCACCAATGATTTTTCTATTTAAGGTCAACTGGGTTATGCGTCAAACTGTGGGGAGTAAGAAGGCGGGACTAGGCCGGACCACCAATAAGAAGACTCTAGAAGATCTGGATTTCGCGTGTGGATAATTTATGTTTAGTGTCACACACACTTACAGGTGAAAACCAGCAAACCGGCCAAAGGAGTAAGGAAGACGATTCCAGCATGTGCATGTTGATATAGCTGGTCCTTTATCACCCGTTCAAAAGTTACACAAACATCTTTGCGAGTATAGATAGATTTGCTCGGTGGGCTATCGCCTGACCAATTAACGACATTTCAGCAGAAAATATAGCCTGTTTTTCTAGATCTCTTGGTATCGAACTATGATGTACCATCTATGGTGACATCCGAGAGGCGCCCAGTTCCAAATGACACTGTTTAAGGAGTTGACCCGACTTCATGGAGTGCAATTGGCAGAAGTTAGAATTCATGGGCCATTGGACTGGATCCCAATGGCTTAATGTTCTACGAGCTCATTAGCCTTGCAATCAGAAAGTTCTGAATTCGAGGCCCGGTGAACGCGTACTGTTGAGAAGTTCCAAACCAGGACAAAACAGTTGTCCAGTACTCCTAGGTGGCTTTCCAATGGTTCTCTAACTGATGTCAGCTTATGGTGAAATCCTGTGAACAAACATTCTTATTACCATTATTTTTTCTATAAGTAACAATGACAGCTTCAGGTAGTCTTGTAGTGACCCATTTTATTACTCATCATCGTAGTATACTTTCACTATGTAATTGGACTTTGATTGCATGTTGTCAATTGATACATTGTACTCGCTCAACTTTTGAATTTTGATTACGGTGATAATACACGCTCGTACTTCTTCTCAGGTGCCTTTTGATTTATGTTGTGGATGTCGAATTATCACAACGTTAGGGCACAATAATAAACGCGAAGAAGTACTAGGATATACGCGTACGCTAGTTTGGTCAAATAGAGCATCACATCAGTCTCTCCGGACCTTCAAGGGGGAAGCCGTGTGGAGCCTAGCGCAATATGACTGTGCAGTTTTGTGTTAGATGTTACAAATGGAATTTGTTTAAAACGATTCATTATGAAATATAAGAACTTTGAGATGCGAACTAAAATACGAAGTACTGCTCGTCAACTCGTTTTCTCTCTGGTTCGAACTGTGCACTTGTTTCACTACTAACCATGTCGAGTCCTTCGGAATTTTTAAGAAACCCCCATCTTCATCCTAAGGCTATTCTACAACCAGCGCACAGCTTCTACTAGCAGACATGACCAAAGCAGTGAAAACGTCTGGGGACTATGTTCTTAATTTGTTGCAGCAAAATTTCACCGTATCGTCAAGTAACCATTAATTTTGTAGTACATATAGAACCCTTGAACTTTTCTTTGAACTCACTCACCCGATTTTAGCACTTCTTTCTCCCTCGATTCCTGAATCTCCTGTACGTTTTCCGTTCGCTCTCTCGTTGTGCTTTCATTAAGCGCACTCTCCAAGCCTACAAGAGTCACGAGAGCAGATAAGTGTGTAACCCCTATTTTTATCCAATTTCATATATCTTCTGTGCGAATATAACTTTGTTCCCGTCATACTTGCCATCTCAAGTCTTTTTACCCTGATCCCGTTCGTTAATATTTGCGCATTAATAATAATAATAGTATATTCTCATTTTTGTACATGAGGGACGCCAGTTTACAGGCATCATCAATTCGATAAATTACACATACGATTAGTATGTATAGTTAGTAATGATAATATAACAAGGTACATATTTATTCCTACAAATGTAGGACACACAAGTTGTATAGGCATGGATAAGTATTATTTAAGTGACATATTTAAATTACATGATTTACGGTTAAATAACATGGTTGCTGTCATTTTATCTTTAGTTTGTGGGAAAAATCGGATAACTGGTGATTCAATGGAACACATCAAGAAATATAGAGATATTGACTTCGCATTAACAAAAAAAACAAGTATGCGTTGGATGGATTACAGATACTTGGGAAAATAAATAAAGCTTGAAGTCAATTCCCTCAAGAAACAATAAAATGCGTCTTACAATAATATATTCCCACTTTATGCACATGAGGGACTCCAGTTGACAGGCATCATCAATATGATAATAATGCACACATGGAGTAAACATGTTTAAAATTTTTCACTAACACAAGATATATATACAAGGGAAGATAATGGAATATTGACCGTAAGTACACTCTGCATAAGTTAAAACAGTTTATATGGCATAATCCTAGGCACCATTATTGTTTGAATTTGTTGAAAATGAGCGAAACAACTGAGTGTTGCGTTACATTCGGTCGATATGGTGGGCTACTCACAAAAGTATAAAAATGGCTTAAAAAACGTTAGTTAGTTTACCGTAAACGATGTTTTAAGCAATATAATCTGCAAAAGGCTCACCACAGCAGTTATTATCCAGTTAAACATGCAGAGAAGTATTAATAATTCAGCAACCGGTGAATTTTTGATTCTTTTCGGTCTGGAACCTGAGTAACTGCGAACCAATCCATACAAAAATGTCGAAAGAGGCATGCAGGAGCAGAATTTTACCATCGAATGAGTCAGTGGGATCTGAAATGCAGCTGTCAGCATATTTTCGTTATTTCATAGATATCCAGGTTTATTGGCGCTGTATAGGTAGTAATTTGGATTTGTCATCATGATCGACATATGGATGAATATTCAGATATGTACTACAACTTGTTTGCCTTTCGGATTTAGTTAATTACATCGCGTGTTGGGTTTGATTACTCTGCGATTTTGACATATTCCGCGGTGTCGCCGTGATGATGGGAAGTATGCATATGCTTTAAATGCATTACTTTGTTGGCTGCTACCTCCACTGAGTGTATACAACGGGAACTGTGGATTTATGTATTTCCTCACCACTGTGGATAAAATATCGCCGCATTCCTTTTGGAGAGGAGACCAGTTGGTGGATTATAAATGATGTCCAAGTAACTTATATCCTTCCATGTGATGTTGTGGTAAGTCTCGACCTTGTTTTCTCATATTTCATTCGTATGTTGGTTATGGTTCACGCTTTGTATCAGGTAGACATAATTCGATCGACTCTTATTTGTATGGGTGTTATTTTCATGACTGCTGCTTTTTGTCTGAAATTATAGGCAGAGTACAACTAAGGTCATAAAGCGGTGAAGAAGTTTTTGTAAGAGTGGTTAATTTAGGTCTAAGTGTTAAGCCAAGTCTAACTCATACAAGTGGTGAGCCCGTGTTTTCACCGTTTGCCTCCATAGTAACTTAACGGGTAAATGGTTCTTTTTCATATTCACAATTTGTTTGTTTTTCACGTAGAGTTATAAGGTTTTACTCGCCTTGTTTTTAATTATATTTTTTGCTATCACTCTGTTAATGTACCTTCTTGTCCCCAAGATGGCCGACAACAGTTCCCCTTCGGAGATGGCTATCACCTTACAACTCATGTAGGGGACTTATGTTAGAGTTCACTAGTATTACAAAATATGAGAAATAATATTCAAGTCAATGGAATGTTAAGTAACAGTATATTACCAAAAATGCAACGACACGTTATGTCAACAAAAGGGTTACTTGGAAATAAAGTTGAAGTCCTCTGCTACAAATTATTTATATAACCCACGGAGACGTTAGTTGTTTGGACGGAGTAGGTTGTAGCTGCTGTGTCCCGGTTGTATAATTGTCTTCGGTTGAGCGTAGTGGACTCCTACAATAAATCCGAAAGATACAACACGGTGAGAGCTGAGCTAGTAAGCCAAAGAAACCAAGGAGAAGACGAAGTCTCCAACAGCAGAGTGTATTTTCCAATCGTACACGGAAGACAAGGGTATTTCAACCAGAAGCGTTTTAAACAAAAATTATGTACAATATGTCTAATTTCTACAAATAACCAAAAAGTGTACAATCACATTGTTACGCACTCCACAGGGCTCCCCCCTAGAGGTCCGGAGAGACCATCGGAAAATGTTAAGTAAAGCTGTGAAGTAAATAATAATAGTAATAACAATTTTTGGATAAAAATAGGGATATATTACAACATGCATAAACGTAAGAAGTTATGTGAGTCATGTAAAGTCTGAAAGCATATACAATTAGTTCAGCAATAAAAAAAATTAAAACAGAAAGTCATGTCTTTTAAATTTGCACTAACCATGAGCATAGATTTTCAATGTATAACGAAAAAGAAAACAAATATGGATTAAAGATCAATAGTTTCTGAAAAGGGCAATGCCTGTTTTATAGGTGAGGTACACATAAGTAAATAATAGTGATAGTAACATCAAAGTTTACAACGAAATACTAACGGTCATGATAATAATGTCTAAACGAAAAAGATAATAATAATTTTTAATATTTTTTTATTAGTCCTCAAAATGAACGTAGCGAGCCGGTTTACTGATTTGCCGACCACTACGTGTTTGATATGGAGGGATGATAAGACTTGGTGCCGGTGGAGTGGAATGTGATGTTTGATTATTTGATTGTGCAGTTGCCGATGTAGCTTCAAAATCGTTGTCTGTGTATGCGGGTTTGATGCTATCGATGGAAACAGTCTCTCGTTTTCCATTCTTGTTCACCGTAAAGTGTTTTTCTGAACGTTTAATAACTTGAAATGGCCCTTCGTATGGAGGTTGTAATCCTTTTCTGATGGCGTCGACTCGAACAAACACGAATTTGCAAGTTTGTAGATGTTTGTTGATCTGATCTCGTCGGGGAGATTGTCGAGGTGCTGTTGGTTGAAGCTGAAGCATTTGTCTAGTTAATCGGTTGGTGAAGTCGGTAATGTTCACGTCTGTGGAATCGGCTGAGGGGACTAGCTGTCCAGGCAAGGTTAGGTTGGTGCCATAAACAAGTTGAGCCGGTGTACATCCTAAATCTTCTTTGATAGTAGATCGGATACCAAGTAAAATTAAAGGTAAGTATTCACTCCACTTAGATGTATCATTTTGCGCCATCAGGGAGCTTTTCAGTTGTCTGTGGAATCTTTCCACTAGACCATTCGCTGCCGGATGATAGGCTGTCGTGGAGATATGTTTCACTCCCAGGAGTCTCGTCAGTTCGCGAAAGAGTGTCGATTGGAATTGAGGACCGCGGTCGGATGTAATAGTAGTTGGTACACCGTAGTTTGACACCCAGCGGTCGAGGAAAACCAAAGCAACATTTTCGGCAGATATATCGTTCAGGGGGCATGCAATAGCCCAACGAGTAAATCTATCAATGGCTGTCAGGATATGTGTATATCCTCTTGACGTTGGCAATGGTCCTACAATATCTATATGAACGTGCTGAAATCTCCTGTCCGGTAAATCAAACGTTTTTGGCGTTGTGATAGTGTGGCGGTGTACTTTGGAGCGTTGGCATTGGAGACATTCTCGTGCCCATCTCCGAATGTCAGAGTTCATTTTAGGCCACACGAAACGTTCGCTGATGAGTCTGACGGTGGCACGTACTCCAGGGTGAGAGAGCGAATGTAAGTGGTCGAATAAAGCTTTTCGGCATTGGAGAGGAACAAACGGGCGATTAGTGCCGGTAGATACATCACAAACTATAGTAGCATCTGACAAGAGAATAGGTACGTCCCTGAGCTGTAAGGAAGAGTTTCCACGACAATTTCGAAGTTCTGCGTCGTCTCTTTGTAACTGAGCCATACGGTCAAGACTGACGTCTACTGAAGTTTCAAGCTGGTGTATATCACCTCTTGAAAGAGAATCAGCTACCACGTTTGCGTCCCCTTTGATGTACTGTATGTCAGTTGAAAATTGGGAGATATAGTCTAAGTGTCTGGCTTCTCTTGGGGAGTGTTTATCCAGCGAAGTGGTAAAAGCATAGCACAGAGGTTTGTGGTCAGTAAAAATAGTGAAATGCCGACCCTGTAGTAAGTAACTGAAGTGTTTGACTGCTAGGTATATAGCCAACAATTCTCTCCCAAAAGTACTGTAACGTGTCTGAGCCGGTTCTAACCTCTTCGAAAAGAAAGCAAGTGGGGTAACGTCACCATTAATCTTTTGCTGTAACACCGCGCCCACAGCTACTTGGGAGGCATCTGTGCACAGGATAAGGGATGCTTCGGGGTTGATGTGAGACAACATAGCGACTTTAGATAAAGCGTCTTTAGCGTTGCAGAAAGATTCGTGTGCTTGCTCTGACCATTGAAATTTTTTAGGATCACTTTTAAGGAGATCGGTTAAAGGTTGGACGATAGAGGCACACGAAGGAATAAAACGTCGATAGAAATTAAACATCCCCAAAAATTGTCGGACTTTCTTCAAAGAGTCTGGTTGGGGGAAGTTTTTAATTGTATCTATCTTTTCCTCAGTAGGCCTGATTCCCTTGGCAGTTATGTAGTGTCCCAAAAATTGAATAGAAGAGGCACCGAAAATGCACTTCTTAGGATTTATAGCGACGCCATACTGTTCGAAACGCTGAAACAAAGTGCTAAGATGATTCTTATGTTCCTCTTCCGACTTGCTAGCAATTAGTACGTCGTCGATATAAACGAACACAAAGTCAAGACCCCACGTGACTTGGTCCATGAAGCGCTGAAAAGTTTGTGCAGCGTTTTTCAGTCCGAAAGGCATTCGTAAGAATTCAAACAAGCCAAAAGGTGTTATAATAGCTGTCTTCTCGATGTCCTCAGGAGCGACTGGTATCTGGTGATAAGCTCTGACTAAATCCACTTTGGAGAAAATAGTTTTACCTTGCAGTGTTAGAGAGAAATCATGCAAGTGCGGAATGGGATAACGATCTGGGACAGTGGCGTTATTCAAACGTCGGTAATCCCCACACGGTCGCCAATCATGCTCAGCTTTTGGTACCATATGTAATGGTGAGGACCAGGGGCTGTTGGATGGCCGGATGATGCCCAATTGCATCATGTGTTCGAATTCAGCTTTGGCTGCTGCTAACTTGTCGGGTGGTAGTCGACGAGGACGTGCTCTGACGGGTTGACCAGTTGTGACAATTTTATGCGTGACAGAATGAGGAACATCTTCGATATTATAAGATGGCTTTAAAATTTTTGGGAAACGATGCAGTAATGCAGAAAACATGCAGTCATCTGGCTTTTCGATGCATATGTTATAAACAGAGTAGTTTGAGATGATTCCGTGGACTTGAAGCTGGGTGCAGTTATCAATCAGCTTTTTCTTGTTGACATCAACCAGCAGATTGAAATTGCTTAAAAAATCGGCACCCAATATGGCATGACTAACGTCAGCTACTATGAATATCCATGTAAATCGACGACGTAAACCAAGATCCAAAATAAGTGATTGTTCACCGTAAGTCCGTATGCTAGTTTGGTTAGCTGCTCGAAGTGAAAGTTTTGCAGCTGTGCTAGAAGACCGCCTGGAGAGTGAAGGAGGTATTACACTAACTTCGGCTCCTGTGTCTACCAGGAATAATGTGCCTGTGGTTTTGTCCCTCACGTAGAAAAGGCGACTTGAATGGTTGCCAGTAACAGCTGTCGCCATCACTGTCTGGCTGAGACGTTTCCCCTGAGCCTGATTCTCTTCACTAAAGATGCACGGTTTGACACATTTCAGGGCATGACGTCCAAACTTCCTATGATACCAACATATATTACTGTCCCTAGAAGACATGCGGGAACGCTGTCGGGAGTGAGATCGTCTATGTGATTGTGACCGTGCTTGTGAACTCCGCCTCTCGACTCGTCGATCAGATCTAGGTGTTTCCAACTTGTCAAGCCTTGCCGCTAAGTCTGCAATGGCGGCGAGTATTGGTGACGACATTATAGGTGTGAGAATATTGATACAAAGGGGAATACAAATATGAAACCACCAACAAAAAATTGCAATGAAAGTACAAAATAGCAAAAATAAGTATATAGATACGTGAAAATAATCCGTGTTCCAAAACGGGCTCACCAGTTAATTTGTAGGGGACTTATGTTAGAGTTCACTAGTATTACAAAATATGAGAAATAATATTCAAGTCAATGGAATGTTAAGTAACAGTATATTACCAAAAATGCAACGACACGTTATGTCAACAAAAGGGTTACTTGGAAATAAAGTTGAAGTCCTCTGCTACAAATTATTTATATAACCCACGGAGACGTTAGTTGTTTGGACGGAGTAGGTTGTAGCTGCTGTGTCCCGGTTGTATAATTGTCTTCGGTTGAGCGTAGTGGACTCCTACAATAAATCCGAAAGATACAACACGGTGAGAGCTGAGCTAGTAAGCCAAAGAAACCAAGGAGAAGACGAAGTCTCCAACAGCAGAGTGTATTTTCCAATCGTACACGGAAGACAAGGGTATTTCAACCAGAAGCGTTTTAAACAAAAATTATGTACAATATGTCTAATTTCTACAAATAACCAAAAAGTGTACAATCACATTGTTACGCACTCCACACTCACAGCCTTCTGGATACATAGTCCTGTTGCATGGTTCGGCCACATAGAAGCTATGTTTGCCCTCAGGCACATACACTCACAAGAGACAAAGGTAAACTTGGTAATCGTGAGTCTTCCAGAGAATGTCATGGAAGGGGTGTCTGACGTGCTCGCGGATCCGTCCCCTGACTTGTATGAGAGTCTCAAGTAGGCGCTGATTAAGCGCGTTGCACGTCAGACACCCCTTCCATGACATTCTCTGGAAGACTCACGATTACCAAGTTTACCTTTGTCTCTTGTGAGTGTATGTGCCTGAGGGAAAACATAGCTTCTATGTGGCCGAACCATGCAACAGGACTATGTATCCAGAAGGCTGTGAGTGTGGAGTGCGTAACAATGTGATTGTACACTTTTTGGTTATTTGTAGAAATTAGACATATTGTACATAACTTTTGTTTAAAACGCTTCTGGTTGAAATACCCTTGTCTTCCGTGTACGATTGGAAAATACACTCTGCTGTTGGAGACTTCGTCTTCTCCTTGGTTTCTTTGGCTTACTAGCTCAGCTCTCACCGTGTTGTATCTTTCGGATTTATTGTAGGAGTCCACTACGCTCAACCGAAGACAATTATACAACCGGGACACAGCAGCTACAACCTACTCCGTCCAAACAACTAACGTCTCCGTGGGTTATATAAATAATTTGTAGCAGAGGACTTCAACTTTATTTCCAAGTAACCCTTTTGTTGACATAACGTGTCGTTGCATTTTTGGTAATATACTGTTACTTAACATTCCATTGACTTGAATATTATTCCTCATATTTTGTAATACTAGTGAACTCTAACATAAGTCCCCTACAAATTAACTGGTGAGCCCGTTTTGGAACACGGATTATTTTCACGTATCTATATACTTATTTTTGCTATTTTGTACTTTCATTGCAATTTTTTGTTGGTGGTTTCATATTTGTATTCCCCTTTGTATCAATATTCTCACACCTATAATGTCGTCACCAATACTCGCCGCCACTGCAGACTTAGCGGCAAGGCTTGACAAGTTGGAAACACCTAGATCTGATCGACGAGTCGAGAGGCGGAGTTCACAAGCACGGTCACAATCACATAGACGATCTCACTCCCGATAGCGTTCCCGCATGTCTTCTAGGGACAGTAATATATGTTGGTATCATAGGAAGTTTGGACGTCATGCCCTGAAATGTGTCAAACCGTGCATCTTTAGTGAAGAGAATCAGGCTCAGGGGAAACGTCTCAGCCAGACAGTGATGGCGACAGCTGTTACTGCCAACCATTCAAGTCGCCTTTTCTACGTGAGGGACAAAACCACAGGCACATTATTCCTGGTAGACACAGGAGCCGAAGTTAGTGTAATACCTCCTTCACTCTCCAGGCGGTCTTCTAGCACAGCTGCAAAACTTTCACTTCGAGCAGCTAACCAAACCAGCATACGGACTTACGGTGAACAATCACTTATTTTGGATCTTGGTTTACGTCGTCGATTTACATGGATATTCATAGTAGCTGACGTTAGTCATGCCATATTGGGTGCCGATTTTTTAAGCAATTTCAATCTGCTGGTTGATGTCAGCAAGAAAAAGCTGATTGATAGCTGCACCCAGCTTCAAGTCCACGGAATCATCTCAAACTACTCTGTTTATAACATATGCATCGAAAAGCCAGATGACTGCATGTTTTCTGCATTACTGCATCGTTTCCCAAAAATTTTAAAGCCATCTTATAATATCGAAGATGTTCCTCATTCTGTCACGCATAAAATTGTCACAACTGGTCAACCCGTCAGAGCACGTCCTCGTCGACTACCGCCCGACAAGTTAGCAGCAGCCAAAGCTGAATTTGAACACGTGATGCAATTGGGCATCATCCGGCCATCCAACAGCCCCTGGTCCTCACCATTACATATGGTACCAAAAGCTGAGCATGATTGGCGACCGTGTGGGGATTACCGACGTTTGAATAACGCCACTGTCCCAGATCGTTATCCCATTCCGCACTTGCATGATTTCTCTCTAACACTGCAAGGTAAAACTATTTTCTCCAAAGTGGATTTAGTCAGAGCTTATCACCAGATACCAGTCGCTCCTGAGGACATCGAGAAGACAGCTATTATAACACCTTTTGGCTTGTTTGAATTCTTACGAATGCCTTTCGGACTGAAAAACGCTGCACAAACTTTTCAGCGCTTCATGGACCAAGTCACGTGGGGTCTTGACTTTGTGTTCGTTTATATCGACGACGTACTAATTGCTAGCAAGTCGGAAGAGGAACATAAGAATCATCTTAGCACTTTGTTTCAGTGTTTCGAACAGTATGGCGTCGCTATAAATCCTAAGAAGTGCATTTTCGGTGCCTCTTCTATTCAATTTTTGGGACACTACATAACTGCCAAGGGAATCAGGCCTACTGAGGAAAAGATAGATACAATTAAAAACTTCCCCCAACCAGACTCTTTGAAGAAAGTCCGACAATTTTT